AGCAACTTTTCAGACTTACCCTAGCAACTTTTTCTTCCAAAAGCACCTAGCAACAAATTTAGCTATTTAAAAAAATGTATTTGGCAGCTTTGAGCAACTTTTGAGAAGTGACTCAAACGATAAAAAGGCACAATTTACCATTTAAATTACACAAAAAGAGGAAACCGAAGATGCCTAGCAGTACACACGTTGCAGGAATTAAGTTAGCTGCTATTTGCAATTGTTTAATAGTAATAATAATAATAATTGAATAATCGAATACTGTTATTTTTCATTTATGAGACACTTTGTTAGTAGCTTGTACCTGCGATTGTTGATGAGTTCGTACACTGTAAGAAAAATATGCAGAAAAATGGAAAAGGTGCTAGTAATTTTCCAGGACATTATCCGTTATCCGTTGTAACCTGAAAAGACAAAATACAATACGTAATTAAAAATGCAGGTACAAAAACCTATGGAAAAATCAATCCAGAAAATTCCTTCATATTAACACAGCAGATTGTGCATTATTTTTTTTTACTTTTCTTAGAGCGCAGCATACTAACTAACTACTAATAAACTGCTTTAAAGTATAAAACTTGCATTGTAATCATTCAAAAATGTGTACGTTTTCGATAATTCAATGGATTTAAAAATAGTTATTTATATTTTAATATTACACTATGCATTTATATTGCTACGAACAAATCTAAATTAACATATATAAAATATATATATGTTTTTGCTGAGATTTGACACAATTTTGCATCGTGATAACGTAATGACGTCATCACAACACCATTTAGCAACTTTTAGCAACAAATCAACCTTCCTTTAGCAACTTCCCCTGAAAATTAGTTGGCAACACTGCAAAAGCGTCCGCTATGGCTGTATGAAAACAGTTGTTTTCACAAAAAAACAGAAATGTTTGGAAACATGAAGACATTAAACATACGATTGCGACAATATATGGTTTATTTGTGTTTGCCAAGTCATCTCCAGGTAATAAATAAAATATATGAACAATGCAGTGCTAATTGACATAGCATTTATTACAGTATAGAAACTATTCTGCCTTATGTGATAAAAAAAGTGTTTGTAGTATATAAACAAATCATTATTATTGGTTATTGTCCAGCAGTTATCTGATTTCTAAGTCACTTAAAAGCTTGAAATGAGAGAACAATTAAAGTTGCCTATACACTGCCAGTCAAAAGTTTCTGAACAGTAAGATGTTTTATGTTTTTTAAAGAAGTCTCTTCTGTTCACCAAGCCTGCGTTTATTTGATCCAAAGTACAGCAAAACAGTAAAATTGGAAATATTTTTACTAGGCTATTTCAAATAACTGTTTTCTATTTGAATATATTTTAAAATGTAATTTATTTCTGTGATCAAAGCTGAATTTTCAGCAGACATTACTCCAGTTTTCAGTGTCACATGATCTTCAGAAATCATTCTAATATGCTGATTTGATGCTCAAGAAACATTTATTATTAGTATTATGTTGAAAACAGCAGAGTAGAATTTTTTCAGGTTTATTTGATGAATAGAAAGTTCAGAAGAACAGCATTTATCTGAAATAGAAATCTTTTGTAACATTGTAAATGTCTTTATCATCACTTTTGATCAATTTAAAGCATCCTTGCTAAATAAAAGTGTTCATTTCTATCATTTATTTTCCAAAAAAAAAATCTAAGCTTTTGAATGGTATAGTGTATAATGTTACAAAAGCTTTTTATTTCAGATAAATGCTGATCTTTGGATCCTTCTATTCATCAAAGAATCCTGAAAAAAATTACTCAACTGTTTTAAATATTGATAATAATAATGAAAAAAAAAGGTTTATCTATCTATCTATCTATCTATCTATCTATCTATCTATATATATATATATATATATATATATATATATATATATATATATATATATAACATTTCTGTCCCCCTCACTTCTGAAATGATGGCTACGCCCCTGGGTTAGGGAGTGGTTTTGTCATCATAAACCCTCCGATTCACTTCCTGGTGACACTCAGAGCTGCCCAAGCTTGTAGGGGCCTGGAGGATCCAAGAGCAAAGCCAACATCCAGATATGCTGGGGCATCAGGATACTCCTCTGGTAAGTCAGCTCTTTTAACAAAAAACATGGCATGAGATTCCAGATCATTTCTGTGGAGTTGAATATAAATTGTTGAAAAGTTTCTGAAAAAGACATTCACAGCAAAATATGTAAAGATGCAGCCACATTAATATAAAAAATATTTTCATTTTGCATTTTGTGACTAATAGCCTATATGTGAAGCTTAGCATTTCAAATTATTGTTCACATACCTCTACAGCCTTAGATGTTTCTGAAATTTCAAGATACAAGATTCAGGACGAACTCTCTAGTTTTACTGTGTTTCTTAATGTCTTGACTTTTGTTCAAGTACATGGTTGGACACTGAAGAAAATATATTTTCTTTTAAAAAAAAGTCTATGGAGAGATAAAATGATGTTGTAGAAAAAAAATAATAATAGTAAAAACAATTCATTGATAAAGTGTCATTGCTAAAGATCTGTTTCCTCATGGATCTAATGTCTGTGTGTGAACTTTAATGCAAATGATAGTGTTTGTGTGCTGCAGTGTCTATGGCATTTTCTTCTCTCATCATACACCCCATCTCATCCCCTAGTCAAATCATGGGCAGCTCCTGCACCTCTCCACACTCCCACACACACACACATCAGTCATGTTTGCATAAGTGTCACTGGTACTTTTCAATAATCACATCCTCCCTTCAAAAATAAATTATTATTTATTCACGTTTTACATAAACATTCAATGAGCAGCTCACAATGAATGCCAATTGGGAGCAATTGCATGTTAACTGATCAAACCATATTGCGTCTCCTGCTTAAAAACAATGAAAGGAATGGCAACCATTAGGAAACTGGAAGTTTCGAAAGGTTTAAAATGGCTGTCATGAAGCAGGCATGGTGAAAGCTATACCTGGACCTGATAGCATTTGGATCAAATTGATTGAAAAGAGATTAATCAAGCTCATTCAGATCTGATTGCACCAATCACATGCTGTGAACAGCCTGAAATGGTTTTATAGCATGACGCTTCTGTTCCTGACTGCTTTTACTATGGCTGTTTCTGTCCGTGCCTCTTCAACCACATGAGGGAACTGACTTCATAATCACTTGTTGACCAGGATGCAAATAAGCTTTAGTTGTCAGTTGCATAGACTACTTCTGTGGGTGATCAATTATGGCTGCTATCAGTGTTTATAATGACATGTAAGTTTACATGGGTGATTTTTTATGTCAAAGCATTTCCATGTTCAAACGCCATGCAGCTGCAATCTAGTGTCTTCTTTTTTGTCTTTAACTTGTTCTTTCTTTCTTTCTGCTTGCTTGATATTTTCTAACTTTACCTCTGGTTGGTAAAAAGCACATCAGTTTCTCAGTTCATATGTGGCTCGGCCTTTACCAGAATTTACCAGATGAAAATGAAAATTGCTTCTGCTTTACATGAACATTTCCAACTACCTGAAGTGCCTCGCTGAACAAATCATCAGCTCCTGACTGGACTGGGATGCAAATGCATTTGAATTCTGTCTGTAGGGGGTGTTACGGCAGGGCAGGAGGTGTCTGCGATGTGGGGAACTGTTGATTGAGTCCCAAGAACACGGGTGAGGCTAGTTGCACCACTTATTACCACTAAATATTTAACACCGTTCAAAATTCTTGAGCTTGTGTGTCACTATTTGCAGTTCTCTACCGGGATGTCAGTGTTACACCCCGCTTACAGAGTCTGTTATTCAAATGGGCGAGAAGGGCAATGAGAGGTTTGATAAACCCCAATGGATGGCCGGACATTTGGGAGATATTGATTTTGTTGGAGTCAGTCGGACCAGGGGCAAGGTATATAAGGACAGATATTTACAGAATCTTTTCATTGTAATTCATCGAATTCACCACTAATGAGTTCAAGCTTGTGCACATTATTCACAGACTTTATTTGTCAGTCCAGTTTGTCAGGGTAACCAGCTCCACAGATCCGGCTGAAATCTACCAGATGTTGACTAAGCAGTGGGGTCTGGCCCCTCCTCATCTGGTGGTGGCACTAATGGGAGGTGATGAAGTGGCTCAGATGAAGCCCTGGCTGAGGGACACACTTAGGAAAGGCCTTGTGAAGGCAGCACAGAGCACAGGTGGGTAATTTATTGTTCACTAAAAACAAAAATCGCAATCTCTTTTTGACTGTTACAGACCTTTGACCCTTGACCCACACAGGGGCATGGATCTTCACCAGTGGTTTGCGTTTTGGCATCACCAAGAACCTGGGTCAGGCTGTAAGGGACCACTCTCTAGCGAGCACTTCCCCTAAGGTGAGAGTGGTGGCCATTGGAGTTCCACCCTGGAACATGATTCAGAACAGAGATCTTCTGCTGGCTGCAAGGGTGAGGACTTCCTGCTGACATGAATAGAAAGGTCTTCTCAAATGATACATTTTGATGTGATAATTATGTGATTTATGTTACAATTATATGATTCAGTTGCACGGAAAAAGCATGTGGATTTTTTGTTACACAAGAGAGTGCTGCAGAAATGAGTCCTAAAACCCAGAAACAAGTTAGAATTCCTGCACTTAGTTTCCATCTTTTTTGTTGTTTGTTTGTTTCGTGGTTCACCCATGCTCAAGATATTTCCGCAATTTATTATATAATATAAAATATATTATTAATACCTCACTTGTGTTGTTTTTAGCTTTTACTTGTCTTAAAAATGGCGGTTTAAGTGTCTAAATAAGACTGGACTACAGAGGCTGAAGGCGACATTATTCTTTTACAGCCTCGTTGTGTTTATACTTGCACTCTTTCAAACTATTCTAAGTCAAACTTGTAAGATTGAATGAGCTAAGAGGTGATGATGTTAAGTCATGCAAACGTTGTGTAGTTTGTTTAATGCCTAACTTTATCTTTTTACTTCGGGGGATTGTACTTAGGCTTCAGAATTTTTCTTGGTCACTTATTTTCTGCATTAATCCAAAAGTTTATTTTTTTGGCTTTTTGTCAAGAAAATCAGAGTGATGCTAACTTCCGGTATGGCCTACAAAATTTCCCACTCTATAACGTCATTAAATATTTATGTGTACAAATACATTTTTTAAAACGCAAATGAAAATTGATTTTATAAGTTGTTAAACATTGTTTCTTTTTTATAATTTGGTATTTTTGTTTAGCCTGACCATCCAGCAAAATATCCATCTGAGGATCTTCCCCACGGTGCAGTGTACTCTTTGGACTGCAATCATTCTCATTTCATTCTGGTGGACGAGGACCTACAGAGACCTGGTGAGATGAGAGTCAAGATGCTCAAACACATCTCTCTGCAGCGCACAGGATATGGAGGTGAGTTGAGATGCGTTTTCTCCCCGAATGTCTCTGTAAATTTAGTAATGTTTTATGTTCTCGTGTATATATTTTCACATGAGTTTATTGTTCTAACAGGCACAGGCAGTATAGAAATCCCTGTCTTATGTCTTCTGGTTCATGGAGAGCCAAGGATATTACAGGTCTCTCTTAACATTTTATTTTTGAAGTATATCTAATGAAGTGTTTTGTTGTAGCATGATGGTAATATCCACTTCCAATCCATTCTTACAGAAAATGTACAAGAATATTCAGAATTCAATACCCTGGCTGATTTTAGCTGGCTCAGGAGGAGTCGCTGATATTTTAGTGACCCTGATGGACAGAGGTTGCTGGGATGCTGACATGGTCCAAGAGCTGCTGATAAACACCTTCACCAATGGCCTACACAGCACTGAAATCCCTTCCTGGGTCAAACTGGTAAAGGACTATCTTTGTTTTAAGATAGCTAGACATTGTGTTTTTATGCAAGGATGGATCATGCTGTTTTAGGCACAAGTTATGTGTGTAAAGACTCGGATTTTGTCCATTAGATCCAGAGAATATTGGACCACGGTCACCTGCTGACAGTTCATGACCCAGAGCAGGACTCAGAACTGGACACAGTAATTCTCAAAGCTCTGGTTAAAGGTATGTAACTGTGATTTTATACTAACTCCAGCAAACATATGGGGAAATGGTATATTTCTGCATAATGATGTCAGTGAGTTCATAAATGTTCTTGTCTGGGCTCAGCTTGTAAGAGTCAAAGTCAGGAAGCACAGGACTTCCTGGATGAGCTGAAACTGGCTGTGGCCTGGAATAGGGTGGACATTGCTAAAAGTGAGATCTTCAGTGGGGATGTGGCATGGAGTGTGAGAACAAAATTGTTTTGTTAGTTGTATTTAGTTTATCATGGTGAATTAGTCTTCTGGGTTTTGACATCAGTCTACTGTTTTTATACTTATTGAATGAAATGACTGAAAAGTCATTTGACCAATAGCGTGCAGGCATTGTACCTAATCGACCAATCGTGGATTGTTAGAAGGTTGACCGTTCTACAGAGAATGGTCAAAACCAATGCAAATATGTCTAAATATAAATTATGAGGACTGTAGAGGGTATGACAATAGGAAACAAAGCGCCAAACCCAGCCAGTTTAGAAATCCAAGGTAGGACATGTCCGGGAAAAGAAGGACGTACGCTCTCCCTAACTTGTTCAATGCATTATTGTACATTCATCTTTAATAGCTGGTTGTGTTTTTTAGGGCCCGGAGGCCGTGGCAGCTGCTCTGGTGGGCTGTAAGATAATGAAGGAGATGGCCCATCTGGCTACTGAAGCAGAGACTGCTCGCAGTATGAAGAATGCCAAATACGAGCAGTTTGCTATGGGTGAGAATCACACCACCACCAAGCAACAGGCTCATTGCTCAGCAGAGCGGAAAACACAATCATTCAAACATTTCATCTTTGTCGAGTACATTTTTTGTCAAACCACATGATAGGGAACAAACTAATCCAATATTAAGGTTCAAGGAAGCATTGTTTTAAAAATTAAAATAAATGTTAGTGGCTTTAGTGATATACTGACATGGATGGTTTTTCACACTTAAAACTGTGAACTCTGGGTCATTTTTAACTACATGTTGTAATAATCCTGCCACAGTCACATTTATTTTTATTGAATTAAATCTTTGACACTGTATATACCAGGGTCAAATATGGTGCTAATTTTCTTTTAAAAAGGGGCCTTTATATGTTGATAAAAAAAAAGTAAAACAAATAGTAGAAAATGTTGTGATGGTCTACTCAGCATTGTCCCATTTCAATACAATAACATTTTGGAAAGCATTTCAGAATGCACCAAAAATTGTAAAAGTGCTTTATACAAAAAGCAGTATTCCAAGCCTTCGGAAGTCATACAACAGTTTTGTCTGAGGAACAGAATCAGGAATAACTCACCCAAAATGAAAATCCTGTCATCATTTACTCACCCTTATGTTGTTCCATACCTGTATGACTTCTTTACGGCTGATTTGAAGAATTTGAAGAATGATGGTAACCAAACAGTTAATTTGAGTTAGGGTGAGTAAATGACACACAATGTTAATTTCTGGATGAAATGTTTCATTAAGTGTAACTACCAGAACTGTCAGTCCTGATACCTGCACTGTTCTGACAGATCTGTTCAGTGAGTGTTATTCAAACAGTGAAGACAGAGCCTATTCGCTCCTGGTGAGGAAAACATGCTGCTGGAGCAAAGCAACGGTCCTGAATCTCGCCACTTTGGCAGATGCTAAATGCTTTTTTGCTCACGATGGTGTCCAGGTAACAGCTTATGTCTAATTCTTACATTATCATGCCACCAACCAACCATATCCCCATGATCAACCTGGATGCTCTTGCACAGGCCCTGCTGACCAAAGTCTGGTGGGGAGCCATGAGGACAGACACTTCCATCGCTAGACTCGTGCTCACGTTCTTCATGCCTCCCCTCGTTTGGACCAACCTCGTCAAGTTCAAGTGGGGACATTTGTTGTGATTAATTCCATGTGTGACATTTAAACTGATTTTTGATTCATTGTGCATCAATATGTGTGTGCATTTGTCACAGTGCAGAGGAAAAAGTGAGCAAAGGTGAAGGGGAACCGTTTGCCGAGCTGGACAGTTTGGAAACAGAGCAGGCCTTGTTACTCACAGACGAGGACCCAGTGTAAGCCTCTGTTTCCTACTGGAAACTTAAAAACTACAGTGAAGTTGAAAGATCTTTTTGAAGACATCTGTTTTCGTTTTTCTTTTTTTCTTAGTGCTGCTGAAGGTGGCGGTGATTCTGCAGTGCAGAGATGCAGTGCAGCTTTCATTTATGTGATGCTGCAGAAGTGGAATCGTTTCTGGAGCGCTCCATGCATTGTGTTCATGGGGAATGTCATCATGTACTTTGCTTTCCTCATACTGTTCAGTTACGTGCTCCTTTTGGACTTCAGGCCCCCACCGCCACATGGCCCGTCTGCAGCTGAAATTATCCTCTACTTCTGGGTCTTTACCCTGGTGTTGGAGGAAATCCGTCAGGTAGAACTGAATGCCAATGATCTATTGTTTAAAATCTGTGTGATTGTTTTTAAATTGCGTTTGTATGTTGAAAGTCTCTTATGGTTCTCTGCTGAAATGACTTTGAGTTTTTTATCAAAAAGTATGAGAAACATAGTTATCATAGATATCTAGTTAACATATCTAAATTTAGGATTCTTTAGAATATGTAGAGCAGTGTTATTATTGTTAACATAAAACGAAAGCTTCAAAAAAATCATTAATTGAAATAAAACAAGTAATATAAAATGTAAATTTTAGAAGAAAAATGTAAATTAAAATTAGAAGTGTTTCCTTAGCAACTAACTGAAATCATATTCTATTGTCATTTTTATTATATTTCTATGTAGCTTAACTTTTTCTAATTTAGTTTTAGTAATGTTAGTACTAAAACTTATTTTGAAATTAAATTTAAAATAATTTTTTTGATAACAAAATTAAACTAACATTAAAATGAAAATGTTAAAATAATCATTTAAAATATTAATTTCTACTGTAATAACATATAAATAATACTAAAATAACACTGATGTAGTGTGGCTGGTTTTCAGACACACTGGGTCACACACAGGGTTGCGCAAAAATGTAAATTAAAATTAGAAGTGTTTCCTTAGCAACTAACTGAAATCATATTCTATTGTCATTTTTATTATATTTCTATGTAGCTTAACTTTTTTCTAATTTAGTTTTAGTAATGTTAGTACTAAAACTTATTTTGAAATTAAATTTAAAATAATTTTTTTGATAACAAAATTAAACTAACATTAAAATGAAAATGTTAAAATAATCATTTAAAATATTAATTTCTACTGTAATAACATATAAATAATACTAAAATAACACTGATGTAGTGTGGCTGGTTTTCAGACACACTGGGTCACACACAGGGTTGCGCAAAATTCCTCGTGAATTCTAATTTGATTTGTATTGAAGTAGCAAATAAGGTGCATAACTGTAATTTGAATTTAAGGAGGTAGATTCTAAAATTAACCTAAAAGTTCACATAAATTAATTTTAATATGAATTCATTTCATTTTCTAGTATGAGTTAACCCTGACATGTTGATACAGACAATATACTCTGATTAATAATCTGTACTTTACATATTCATACTGTACAGAAATCTTTTATTAAAATATATATAAATTGCCTTTCAGAAGTCTAACATTTTAAACACTGCAGAAAAGTACATCGCAAAAATACAGTAGAAAATGCAATGCAAGAGAGCACAACCGATTCATCATTAAATACAGTACAATGCAGCATGCCATATATAATATAGTACAATACAGTGCAGGAAAATACAAACAATACACAATACAATACACATGCAGGGTGGAGTGTAGGGTTCATCCGAAATAACAGGTACAAATGCAGTTTAGCAGTGAAGTGGCCAGTGTGCCCAAGCAGCTGAACAAACAGTGCCAGCAAAACTGGGAGAAGGGTTAAGGAACATATCCAGTTCAGGGAAGTTGTTTATAAGAGTGGCATCACAGGTGAAGATACTGGTTTAGTTGTTGTTTTAATGGGTCTGAAATGGTTCTTTGTGGGTAGCGATTCAAATAGGGGTGCTGACCAGGGTTTAAACACTCATTTCTGATCTCACCTGCCCATTTCCTGAACTCCGACTCATTAGATGGCTAGGGTAGATGGTAGCCAATGATTCTTTCTGCTGGGTGCCTATAATATGCAAAGGTGTGGCTTCATGTGTGATGAAATAAATATGCGATACCAGACAGTTATGGATGAGGTGAGGACAGATTCAATGACAGAGGTGCAGAACAGGTTGATCAAGGCTTGTGGGGGAATAACATTGAGCATTTCAATCAGCAAATTATTTTTTGAGACTTCCTCGATGCTATTGGGGGGGGGGGGGGGGGTGCAGTTATATTGGTATTCGGTGTATGCAATCATTTTTAACACACTCTGATCCACAGAGTTTCTTCACGGATGAAGACATGAGTATTTTTAAGAAGATGAAGCTATATGTAGAGGATAACTGGAACAAATGTGACATGGTGGCCATCTCTCTTTTCGTGGTGGGATTGTCATGCAGGTATTATGATCACATAGTGCTGTTGTATGAGCCGCATTAGAGTAACAATGTGCTTAATATGAATCCTATGTTTTCTCAAGGATGGCCACAAGCACGTATGAGGCTGGCCGCACTGTTCTTGCTTTGGACTTCATGGTTTTCACCTTAAGACTCATTCACATTTTTGCCATCCATAAGCAACTCGGGCCTAAAATCATCATTGTGGAGAGAATGGTGAAACTTGACATCGTCTCATTTAAAATTACAAATCATAGTCAGAAGAAACATCCATTTAACATCCATCATGTTTTTAAATGGTTTCACAGATCAAAGATGTGTTCTTCTTCTTGTTCTTCCTGAGCGTGTGGCTGATAGCGTATGGAGTGACGACACAAGCCCTTCTGCACCCCAATGACCCGCGCATCGACTGGGTCTTCCGCAGGGCACTGTACCGACCATACCTCCATATATTTGGACAGATTCCTCTGGAGGAAATAGATGGTACACTGCCAATATTCTTGCTTTGAGCACATTGTAGCTCACTGTTTGCAAAAAAAAAATGTGTGTGTGTATATATATATATATATATATATATATATATATAAAATATTATACTAGTTATTAATAGTTTTTATTTTTATATTTTCAGTTTTAATTTAGTAATTTTAGCTCAGTTAGTTACCAAGGCAATATTTCTTATACAAACACACACACACACACACACACACAGAGAGAGAGAGAGAGAGAGCTAGAGCTATTTGACCTAGATTCATAATTGACCTAGAATCTGAAGGGGGTTTTTTTCTTTCTTTTTTTCAATGGGTGTAGTCAGATCATTTCTGTCAGTATCTGTTTGTGTTTAGTTATTAGACTTGAACACTAGGTGGAGCTATTGTAGTTTATTGTTGACTGGATTTGTCCATGTATCTTCACAGCAGCAAAAATGCCAGATGATAACTGCACTACTGATGTGCAGGAGATCATCTTAGGCACTCTGCCTCCCTGCCCAAACATCTACGCCAACTGGCTGGTCATTCTGCTGCTCGTCATCTATTTGCTGGTCACAAATGTGCTGCTGCTCAACCTTCTTATTGCCATGTTCAGGTTAGAGTCTGGCTAATATCTATGTTATGGTAATTCTTCATTGCAGAGTAGTAAAGTACAGTTTCTGTTTTTCCAGTAAAGAGTCATGTTTAGGTTTTGTGTGTGTGTGTGTGTGTGTGTGTGTGTTTTTTAATATTGTTTGTATATATATATATATATATATATATATATATATATATATATATATATATATATACATACATACATACATACAATACATACAATACATACAATACATACATACATACATACATACGGTACGGAAAGTATTCAGACCCCCTTAAATTTTTCACTCTTTGTTATATTGCAGCCATTTGCTAAATCATTTAAGTTCATTTTTTTTCCTCATTAATGTACACACAGCACTATCTTGGTCTCATCAGACCAGAGAATCTTATTTCTCACCATCTTGGAGTCCTTCAGGTGTTTTTTTAGCAAACTCCATGCGGGCTTTCATGTGTCTTGCACTGAGGAGAGGCTTCCGTCGGGCCACTCTGCCATAAAGCCCCGACTGGTGGAGGGCTGCAGTGATGGTTGACTTTCTACAACTTTCTCCCATCTCCCGACTGCATCTCTGGAGCTCAGCCACAGTGATCTTTGGGTCTTCTTTACCTCTCTCACCAAGGCTCTTCCCCCCCGAGAGCTCAGTTTGGCCGGACGGCCAGCTCTAGGAAGGGTCCTGGTTGTCCCAAACGTCTTCCATTTAAGGATGATGGAGGCCACTGTGCTCTTAGGAACATATATACATATATACATACATACATGCATACAGTACATACACAAACTGGACAGATCTATTGTACATTCAAAGGAAAGCCTTTGGCTTGAGTTGCAGAAGCCGTGGGATGACATTAGTGTTGAAGTTCTCTGGAAATATATTGACACTATGCCAGAGAGATGTACTGCTGTAATTGCTGCAAAAGGTGGACACACCAAATATTAAAGTTACAACTGGATAAAAACAGTACGACTCACTTCATCTGATATTTGTGATGCTCAGAGCAACCATCTGCATGTTTCATGAACATTATGAAATTAAATCATATATTGGAGGCAAAAAAGGTCAATATTTTCAGATCTGTCAGGTGTTCTAATTTTGGTCACCACTGAATATGTTTATTTCTTTGTTCATTTTTTCTACTAAAAATGCCATGAAACTCTCTCCACAGCTACACCTTCCAGGTGGTGCAGGAGAATGCAGACATCTTTTGGAAGTTTCAACGTTATAACCTGATTGTTGAATACCACAGCCGCCCTGCATTGGCTCCACCCTTCATCATCATCAGCCACATCTCTCAAGCTCTCCTCAGCCTCATCAAAACTACAGAAACCAAGCAGGATCTGCTGGGTAAATAGATCTTCAAGCTGTGTGTGTGTGTGCTTCCTGTGCAGATTATTCTGATAATTCATAATGAATAGGCCTACCCATTTTGTAACTTTCTTTTAGAGGCAAGTTACAAGAAATATCGAAAATGACCAAGAAAGGAACACATGACATGACGGAACACGTCAGAAAAAAAGCTAAGAAAATATTTAAAGAAACTGTGGTTAAATGTTTGTTCCTCTTTTATTGTCATGGTTAGAGAGGGAACTATCGGCTGGACTGGACCAGAAGCTAATGACATGGGAGACAGTGCAGAAGGAGAACTACCTGGCTAAACTGGAGCATGAGCACAGGGAGAGCAGTGCAGAGAGACTCCGATACACCTCCTCTAAGTGAGTTACACTCAGATGTGTTATTAACCCATTTTCTTATATTGGGATTTACAGGTGGCTTCAGCAAATCTATGCTGAATGAGTGTATGTATAACCATTTTAATCTACTTTTTTTTGCGTGTAACACTTCATAGGGTACAGAGTTTGCTGAGGATGGTTGGGGGTTTTAAGGAGCAAGAAAAGCGCATGGCAACAGTGGAGACTGAGGTGAGGTGAAGGAGTAGCTGCTGACTGAATGTGTTGAGATGTGTCATTTAAGTTCATGGCTTTACTGAAAATGAAACTTCATCTTTAGGTGAGGTATTGTGGAGAGGTGTTGTCTTGGATTGCAGAGTGTTTCCACAAAAGTACTCTGAAGTGTGACAGAGACGCACCTAAAGCCCCACGTGAGGCTTTCTTTACTATTATGTTGGTCTCCCTTGTTTTGTCTCTTCTTCTGACTTTATCTCTGTGCCTCATTTGTTCTCTCTCTTACTCAGTGTCTTCTTTCCATTGTCTCAGAGGTTTGGTCCTCCTAAGGTTACACTACGCTATCTGTGTTTTGCAGGGTCCATTGCCAGCTCCAGAAATCCACATCCACAGGAAGCCAAGCGGCAGCAGCCATCGGGACATTCAGGATATGGTGTCGACAAGAAACTGCCTTACATTGATCAGTGATCTGGCCACGTTATTATGCGTTTGTTTTATTTAACTGGAAATAGAATAATAGTAGTTTGGTATAGGTTATTGTAATTGAGACTCCAGGCCACAAAACGAGAGACACACTATGCAGAGTTATTTCTTTGTGCGTTATATTTTTGCAGCTAAATAGCACTAAATTATAATTATCATTATACAAATTTTCTATACAATAAAAATATCAATTTTTACTCATTTTATAATTTAATGCACTTCAGTTAATTGAAATTGTGTTGTTATTATTATTATTTTGTAGTTAGAATAATATTAATTTTCTTTTTGCCCTTCTATCACAACCTGGTCAGACTTTATCAGTAAAATGAACTTTGTCAATTGAATTGCATTGTATGAATGCTACAAAGTCCTTTACTTCCTCATTTCAATAGGCTTTTACAATTAATAAATATATGTACACTACCATTCAAAAGTTTGTGATCGGTAAGATTGTTTTTGAAAGTTTATTGTGCTCACCAAGGCTGCATTTATTTAATTAAAAAAACACTAAAAACAGCTATATTGTTACAATTTAAAAGAGCTGTTTTCTATTTTAATATGAAGTAGTCAGCATTTGAAGTGGATCAAAAAAAGTTGTCCTAAGACATGAACGCGTTTTAGGTTTTAGGACAACTTTGATGAAAGTTTTTGATCCACTTCAAATGTTTACTAGTGTATTTTAAATGTCATTTATTCCTGTGATGGCAAAGCTGAATTTTCAGCAGCCATTACTCCAGTTCATCAGTTACATAATCCTTCAGAAACATTATCATCACAATTAAAAATAGTTGTGCTGTTTTTTTTGTGGAAACCATGATGGGCATTTTTCAGGATTCTTAAAGAATAAAAAGTTGCTTTTTAAATAAAAATAAAAAGATTTGAAAAGATTTAAATTTGTAAAGAAAAATCTCTAAATTAAGATTTAAACAGTTTAAATCTTAAAGTTTAAGATTTAAAATCTGATTTAAAATAGTCTGTGCATATCAATCAAATAATCAATGAAATAGATCAATGCATCCTTGCTGAGTAAAAATATTTATGTATATATAAAAAAAATGATATATATATATATATATGTCAAAGATAACACAAGTGAACACAGCACGCAGTTTTTAAATTAAGGTTTTTATTATTAAGGGAAAACAAAATCCAAAACTACATGGCCCTGTGTGAAGAAGTGTTTGCCCCTCTGTTAAAACTGTGGTTTATCACACCTGAGTTCGGCTTCTCAATACATGAACTTTTCCACGACATTCTAATTTATTGAGATGCACCTGTGTGTGTGTGTCTATATATATATATATATATATATATATATATATATATATATATATATATATATATATGCTGCCCCCAAACACCTGAACAGTAGTGTATACATATTCGTATCATCTTTCACAGTGCACAGTTTCACACAGAAAAACACAGATTATTCATTATCAAGAATGACCAATACCGTTCCCATAGGTAATGAATCAGTAACCAGTTGACTAGGCAAATTTACCCAATGTGCACAAGGGACATCAAAATCAGCCTTGAGGGAAAAGAAGGATTTTGCAAAGTCTGTTTTCAGTAAGATTACCAGAACTAAAAGAGGACACATTCGCTCTGAACGAACCCACAGTGTTTTTTTTTCTTAACGCTGAAGCCCTGATCTAGATTATGTAAGGAAGCTGAAAAGGACTCTGCTAATATCATAGTTATTTCTGCACTGTGATGGACAGGCTTGGTATGTATTACATTTCCTGTGTTCCTTTACTATGACTTTTCTGCTCTTGGAACAAAGTTTTCTTTCTGTTCCAAATGTTTGAGATGAATATATTTGTGTGTGCTGCAAAATCAATAACACTATACATGATTTCTTACTCATTTTTATAATATTTATATGGTTTGTTGCAACAATGAATGAGAAAAAAGAATAAAAAGTTCAGTAAAAAACTCTTCAAGCGTTTCATGAGACTGTGTAAATCTTTATGTGTTTGGTTGTAATTGCATATGCAGAATTATTTATAAAAAGTTTGCATATGTATTATATATATATATATTAGGTGTGTGTATATCAGAATGATATATGCTCAGGACATGACCCAGATCGGCACCAATGAACCTTGCATCCTTTGGCCACAACTCTGACTTATTTTGAGCATTTGTTTTGTACCGTAGTTTTCTGAAAGGATTTTGCTGTATCACTCGGACATGTTGTCGGTGTGCTAGATCCTCAAAAGAACAAGATACAAAGTGTTGAGTTGATTTGAGGTTAATGAGTGAACAGATGTAAACAGAACAGGACAGTTAGTAACAGGAAGTTGGTGTACCACAGGAAGTAGATAATGTGTCAGATCCACCTGTCTACTTTCACACAGCTCTAAAAACCTGGAAATGGCCTGGTTGCTGTGAACTGACATAGCAGTTGGCTATGCTACATGCCTGAGCTATTAAATAGAAAGCTCTATTTCTTCATTTCACTCCTAAAGTTTTACAGGCTTATTTATTGAACCCTTATGTTCTAACAGACCTCCATTCAGCTCCGTCCACCGCTGACACCATCCTGCAGGGTCCCAGCACTGCTCTTACAAACAAGTATAGACATTTTTGAAATGTCCACTTTCTTCTTTTTTTTTCTCCAGTAAAGGTTTGTTTGTTTTTCTGTTGCCTTGAAGTATGACTTTAATATTCAAAAATATGAATGCTTTCTTTTTTTAGTATCTATGCTGCTGTTATTAAGGTGTTCAAGGGAGAGGAACTAAAGCCGAATGAACTGTACTGCTTGAATGAAAATACCAGGTATAAACTAAACTAGCTATAAAATCACATTTTAAATGAATGTGTAATAACTACATTAAGCAGCTATTTGCTATCACCCATGCAGGTGGCTTCTAAGGACAGATATGGGGTTCTTTTTGATTATCAAAGAGTATTTCCAGGTGCTTTAGTGTGTCAGAGCCCCTGGCGTTCTTCTTCTGGTAAAACAAGTAAAAATAAATGCATTACTGGTAAAAGAAAAACATGCTAATATTTCTTCATATGATTATTTGCAGAATCAGATTTTGACCAAAGGTCTATCAATCATTTTGGATGAGATTCAGAAGCATGAAGGTGAGACACAAGATGTGGTGGATCTGCTGTTTGTGCCCATCGTTGTGAGTGTCCATCATTATAACATGATCTTTTTCCTTCAGGAGAGAGACAGCTGTTTGTTTTGGCCCAGGTGTGGGATAGGTTTTTCACTGAGATTCTGCCCATGTTGCAGGCTATTTTATATCCTCTGCAGGTAAATCTGCTTGTGAACTTGACATTCCTTAGCAAATAGTATAATAGGTTCAAACATTTACACGAGGTCTGCACTTACTTGAGACATCAAATGTGTCACAGCAAGGCTAGAGGTTGCATAATAAAAAACATTTAAAACCCCTGTGGTTAATTTAATTGTGGTATATTTTGATTCTGCATGAAATGTATTCTGTTTCTCTCTCTAATTCTATATGCAGGGGCAGGAGTTGACAGTGAGACAGATGGCTCTTCTCGGTTTCAGGGATCTGGTCCTATTGAAGCTCTCTCTGGGTGACCTGCTGTGCAAGAATCTGTCTCTCATCCCAGCATCCATCACACAAATGCTACTTGTGCTACAGGTGAATATAAACCACAAACACATGCTGAATGGCCAGGTGTTTAAGCATCTCTATTGTTCATGGCTGTTCTTGTCTGTGTAGGGAATTCAGGAATCCAGAGGCCCATCAAAGCAATATTGCCACCTTGAGAGTCTGGTGGCGCTAGTGGTCAAACCCTACTTATGGAACTGCAGACACGCAAGTAGGAAAACCAATACTGATTCATTATAGTTTAATCTAAGCCCAAAGTTATTCTGCTGCCATCTCAAAATGAGCAGACAATTCTGACATTTCCCCAGCCACAAAATAAAATGTTATTTCACCCAAAAACACAATCACCCCCATGTTGTTCCAAATTCACATGACTTGGAGGTTAAAAATCCCAGTCTTCATTTACTTTCAGTTTCCCTTTTGTGTTCCATGCAATAAAGTTCTACAGGTTGGGGAAGTCATAAAGGTTGCAGCCTCTTTAACTTTGGCTACAAATCTGTGACTTTCTCACACTCCTGTAGGCTGCACTGAACAAAGCGCCACAAGACCACAAGTGAGTCAGCCTGAGATAAGGATTACTCATCATATCTCTGAAGGCTCTCTGCTGTCCCCTGTAGTAGAACAGGAAGGGAGATGTACTTTGAGCGAGTGGGAAACCTACGACGCCACAGCGTGACAAATGCTCATTCTGACATTAAGCTTCTGCCAAACTATGGATCTGACTAAAACACACCTCTGAAATCTGCCATGTTATGAAAGCATCTGTGAGAACTTAAGAGTGTGAAAGAAAGACAGAAACTGTGACACTCAATAATTTATAAAGACAAATATTAACACATCTGAGCACTGTATATTGTGATGTAAAAAAAGAACATTATATTAAAAAAACGATTGTCAGATTTCCAGTGTCAATACAATTATCAGATTAACTTGCATATATTAGTCCATCTGATAAAAAAAAAAAAAAGGTATTCATACTCTGTCAAAGTTTTTCAATGAAGCACGTTGAACATTCATACATATTAGCAATATTGAGCACAAGTAAGGTGACTTGGGAGAAAAAAATGTAATGTCTTGTTTATAGGCTAAGCTTGTTACGTACAGCACCTTTCAGAAATTTAGAGCAGCTGACAACTTTCAGTAAAGACAAACATCTGCATTAAGGTGTGATCACATTTACTGTTGTTTGGCGAATTTTCTTATAAAACCCAGTAACTGGGAGTGACTGTCATCCAAGTGACTGGGAGTTTCGTAAGAGGGCGAAAGATTTCCCCAGGCAGATTCACTCCATTAACCAACAGAGAGTTGCCTGGTTTTAAAGGGAATTCTTTGTGAGCTGCACTTCATGCATCACTAACAATTTTTCATCGAAACTTCGCTAATGTAACCACACCTTAAGACATTAAGTTGTTAAATGAACAATGCATGACATTTAGTATAATCACAGTAAACAGTGCTGCTCTGTACTGATGATGCTTTAAATTGTCAGATCTCGTCAAATAAATGAAAATTAAGTACATATTTTAAGAAAAAAAAAAAAAGATAGCAAAAATGATTTTTTTTCCCTACTGCCGAGTGGGCAGAAAAGGTAGCTGAATGTAGTATCATGAAAATAATTTGTGAAAGCTAACACTTAGCACAAGCAGCACCATTAAAATAATAGTTTTACACTCTTTAGCTTGGTTGACGGGACATTCAGTGAATTTCTGATGCTAATCATATGTAGATTTGTCCATTGATTGCACTGATTAAAAGGTTTTTGAGAAACAACATTTGTATATAAAACACTTCACAACAGACATACAAGTTATGCAACTTTGTAAACCCATCATTACTAAGCCTGGTGTACCATGAAGAGTCAAAGAAAGTCCAGGTTTTGCCACATTTTCGTTTCAGCAAAGTGTCTATGAGAACTTAAGAATGCAGGAGCGATGTAGGAACTCAAAGTGAAGGTTCTGACCCCCGAGGTTGGACCCCTTCCCTCCTGAGGCTAGCGTCGAATCGTGGTGTGACCTCGCAGCGCACCAACAGCACGTCGTCTTTCACAAACCCACGCTGCCGCAAAGCCTGTAGGTGCAAGAAAGTGACGTAGCCAAAACCCTTGGGGTTGCGCAGGACAGTGGGCCTCTGGAAGGCCTGCAGGTCTGGCTTGGTCTCCATCACTTCCACGTGATGCTGCCCCTCGACCTGGTCCAACACTGCCAGTTGGATCATGCCCTGCAAGGGCCAGGAGAGCTGGCTGTCAAACTCACCCTGCATAGTGTGCACGAAAAGTGAGATGTAGTTGGAACAGCGTGGGGCGCTGGGAGTTTGCAGATGCAGTCGTAGGCAGAGTTTGTACCCCGGCCGGCCCGTGTAGAAAGGTGGGCTGTGGAGGACTATGGGCTGACCGGCTTCTTGGTTGCGCAGGTGAAGTGAGAAGTTCTCCAAGCGCCATACATAGACGCCTTGATACTGCTGGGCTTCCAGCTCTCGGGTGGCCTCCTCCAGTGAGCTCAGCTTTCGGCGTAGCTCTGTGACCTGGTTTTTCTGTGTCTCATTGTGGATGCACAGCTCGCGGATCTGTTGATCTTGACGAACCAGCCGGCCCTCCAGCTCCAAGACCGTCTCACGCAGGTTCATCAGCTCCGGTCTACACTGGCAAGAATCTGGGGCTCGGGTAGAGGCCCCACGTTCATCTGACGAAGAGTGTGTGGCAAATGAGGGCACTGAGCAGCTATTGAGAGTCTGGCTACGCAGAAACTCAGCCATGCAACGCATGTGCATCTGTGTAAATTCCTGCATGTGTTGGGCCAGTTCATTTCTTGGCATCTGTAATATTTCCAAAGAAATAAAAAAGTTAGACATTTGTGTTATATACTACCATTCAGAGATTCAGTAAGAGGTTTTAAAATATTTTTAAACAAGTCTCTTATATTCTACAAGGCTGCATTTATGTGATCAAAAATACTATTACAATTTAAAATAACTCTTTTCTAGCTTAGTGTTGAAAACAATTGCACTGCTTTAATATTTTGTGGCAACTATGATACATTTTTTTCAGGATTCTTTGATGAACAAATCTCAAAAGAACAGCATTTATTTGAAATTCTTTAAAAAAAAAAATTTTTTTTAAGTCTTTACTGTCACTTTTGATTAATTTAACGCATCCTTGCTGAACGCAAGTATTCATTCCTTACAAAATAAGTCTTACTGTCCCCAGAATGCACTTTATTCAGAACGATAAAAAGGAAAGCATATGTTTTTGGAGTGTTATTATAACAGGAATCTCATGGCCCACCTTTACATGACAACCAAAAGTGCTGAAAGTACAGGCCACAGGAGCTTTCAGACAGTCTGTGTCACAGTGCAATGCCAACTGAAACCAGTAAGAACAGATTCATTCAGCTTCATAGTTTCACAATGAATAATTTGAAGTATCAAACAGAATAAATTACTGTTGTGCCTCAGGTAATGTGCATATTAGTGACAAATCATCTGACACACCTGATCCCGTATAAGCTCCATTTCGCAATATCCACACACTGTATTGGCGAAAGGACAAATCTGTTCATGAATCTACACAAAAGAAAACAAATGTTTCAGACACTAATGTTGGACAGTGTTATTGCTAGCTAAAACTATTCAAATATTCTTTGTTGACTAAAATAAGGCTGAAATAAAATAATAAAGAAAACTAACTAAAAAAGTCACTATAATATAACCAATACAAAAATAAAAATAAAGCAAAATACAAGTGAAAAAAAAATGATGAAAGTAAATGAACTGAAAATATAAAAATAAACGATAATTAAATATTATGAAATACTATAATAGAATCTTTCAAAACCACTTTAACCAAATCTAAACATATCCTGTATGTGAACAGGAAACAACGGTTTTCACCTGTTTGCTAGCATACACAAAGCTCCCTGCACAGGCAGGGCAGGTCATACGCCGCTGTAAACACTGCTCGCTCTTGTGTTTATCCAGATGGCTCTTACGAACAGATTCCAGACACTGAGGGCACTGCACTGTGGCAAACTTACACTGAGACGAGTGTTTCTGAGGAAGAGAGAACATAACACGATTAAACAAGTTGCCATCATGACAACTGTGATTTAGCAAGCTTGTTCGTGACTCCACACTAATGGGTTTGAAATGCCATTTATGAAAGGTCTTGCTCTCTGAGGAGCTGATGCGTAACATATCCATGGACCGTTTTAATTAACAAGATTTTAAGTTGAAATACCTTGGGTCCCATAAGTTCTATTTTTTTAACCATATTTAAGAACCTAAAAATATTCTTAAAAGGGTCATGAACTGCCTCTGTTTTTTATTTTATACTGTTCTCTGAGGTCCACTTTTAATGTGAAGATTATTACATAAAAAAAAATAAGTAATAAGATATTTTCTGTCCTGTTTGTAACCCTCCTCATCAGAAAGCTCTGTTTGAATAGGCATGACGGATTGTATACTCGGAAGTAGTGCTGGGCGGTATGACCAAAAATTTATATCGCGGTATTTTTCTAAATTATACCGGTTTCACGTTACATGACGGTATTTTTTTTTCATGCATGACCGGGTGTTATTCATATTTTCTACTGATTGAGAGAGGAAATGCTGCAGTATATTGACTTAGAATGCCCTATTTTACCATCATGATGAGTGAATATTGTCAAAAAAAATACCACACTAAATAGTGACTAAACACGACCCCTTTTAATACATGTTAACCAGGAGTCACTCTCATTTATAATCACGGCATCGTCTGATAAAATCAACATGCATCTACACTAAAGAGCGGCTATGCGTTGTTTTGGCTATATTACTTGTTTGTCTCATGCAGCGCTCACAAACAAACTAAAAAAAACAACAAACAAAAAAGTGCATGTGATATTAACAAACAAACTACGCTCATATTTATAATTCCAAACAATCAGTAAGCGACAGGTGCTTGGAAACGCTGTTTTGTACTCATTTATTGACGAGTCTGCTGCGGTGCGGCCAGCTGAATGCGCTGCTTCTCTGCCGCTCACTGCAGAGAACAGACGCCGAGAGGGGTAGTTGCCTGGTTTTAAAGGGAATTCTTTGTGAGCTGCACTTCATGCATCACTAACAATTTTTCATCGAAACTTCGCTAATGTAACCACACCTTAAGACATTAAGTTGTTAAATGAACAATGCATGACATTTAGTATAATCACAGTAAACAGTGCTGCTCTGTACTGATGATGCTTTAAATTGTCAGATCTCGTCAAATAAATGAAAATTAAGTACATATTTTAAGAAAAAAAAAAAAAGATAGCAAAAATGATTTTTTTTCCCTACTGCCGAGTGGGCAGAAAAGGTAGCTGAATCATGAAAATAATTTGTGAAAGCTAACACTTAGCACAAGCAGCACCATTAAAATAATAGTTTTACACTCTTTAGCTTGGTTGACGGGACATTCAGTGAATTTCTGATGCTAATCATATGTAGATTTGTCCATTGATTGCACTGATTAAAAGGTTTTTGAGAAACAACATTTGTATATAAAACACTTCACAACAGACATACAAGTTATGCAACTTTGTAAACCCATCATTACTAAGCCTGGTGTACCATGAAGAGTCAAAGAAAGTCCAGGTTTTGCCACATTTTCGTTTCAGCAAAGTGTCTATGAGAACTTAAGAATGCAGGAGCGATGTAGGAACTCAAAGTGAAGGTTCTGACCCCCGAGGTTGGACCCCTTCCCTCCTGAGGCTAGCGTCGAATCGTGGTGTGACCTCGCAGCGCACCAACAGCACGTCGTCTTTCACAAACCCACGCTGCCGCAAAGCCTGTAGGTGCAAGAAAGTGACGTAGCCAAAACCCTTGGGGTTGCGCAGGACAGTGGGCCTCTGGAAGGCCTGCAGGTCTGGCTTGGTCTCCATCACTTCCACGTGATGCTGCCCCTCGACCTGGTCCAACACTGCCAGTTGGATCATGCCCTGCAAGGGCCAGGAGAGCTGGCTGTCAAACTCACCCTGCATAGTGTGCACGAAAAGTGAGATGTAGTTGGAACAGCGTGGGGCGCTGGGAGTTTGCAGATGCAGTCGTAGGCAGAGTTTGTACCCCGGCCGGCCCGTGTAGAAAGGTGGGCTGTGGAGGACTATGGGCTGACCGGCTTCTTGGTTGCGCAGGTGAAGTGAGAAGTTCTCCAAGCGCCATACATAGACGCCTTGATACTGCTGGGCTTCCAGCTCTCGGGTGGCCTCCTCCAGTGAGCTCAGCTTTCGGCGTAGCTCTGTGACCTGGTTTTTCTGTGTCTCATTGTGGATGCACAGCTCGCGGATCTGTTGATCTTGACGAACCAGCCGGCCCTCCAGCTCCAAGACCGTCTCACGCAGGTTCATCAGCTCCGGTCTACACTGGCAAGAATCTGGGGCTCGGGTAGAGGCCCCACGTTCATCTGACGAAGAGTGTGTGGCAAATGAGGGCACTGAGCAGCTATTGAGAGTCTGGCTACGCAGAAACTCAGCCATGCAACGCATGTGCATCTGTGTAAATTCCTGCATGTGTTGGGCCAGTTCATTTCTTGGCATCTGTAATATTTCCAAAGAAATAAAAAAGTTAGACATTTGTGTTATATACTACCATTCAGAGATTCAGTAAGAGGTTTTAAAATATTTTTAAACAAGTCTCTTATATTCTACAAGGCTGCATTTATGTGATCAAAAATACTATTACAATTTAAAATAACTCTTTTCTAGCTTAGTGTTGAAAACAATTGCACTGCTTTAATATTTTGTGGCAACTATGATACATTTTTTTCAGGATTCTTTGATGAACAAATCTCAAAAGAACAGCATTTATTTGAAATTCTTTAAAAAAAAAATTTTTTTTTAAGTCTTTACTGTCACTTTTGATTAATTTAACGCATCCTTGCTGAACGCAAGTATTCATTCCTTACAAAATAAGTCTTACTGTCCCCAGAATGCACTTTATTCAGAACGATAAAAAGGAAAGCATATGTTTTTGGAGTGTTATTATAACAGGAATCTCATGGCCCACCTTTACATGACAACCAAAAGTGCTGAAAGTACAGGCCACAGGAGCTTTCAGACAGTCTGTGTCACAGTGCAATGCCAACTGAAACCAGTAAGAACAGATTCATTCAGCTTCATAGTTTCACAATGAATAATTTGAAGTATCAAACAGAATAAATTACTGTTGTGCCTCAGGTAATGTGCATATTAGTGACAAATCATCTGACACACCTGATCCCGTATAAGCTCCATTTCGCAATATCCACACACTGTATTGGCGAAAGGACAAATCTGTTCATGAATCTACACAAAAGAAAACAAATGTTTCAGACACTAATGTTGGACAGTGTTATTGCTAGCTAAAACTATTCAAATATTCTTTGTTGACTAAAATAAGGCTGAAATAAAATAATAAAGAAAACTAACTAAAAAAGTCACTATAATATAACCAATACAAAAATAAAAATAAAGCAAAATACAAGTGAAAAAAAAATGATGAAAGTAAATGAACTGAAAATATAAAAATAAACGATAATTAAATATTATGAAATACTATAATAGAATCTTTCAAAACCACTTTAACCAAATCTAAACATATCCTGTATGTGAACAGGAAACAACGGTTTTCACCTGTTTGCTAGCATACACAAAGCTCCCTGCACAGGCAGGGCAGGTCATACGCCGCTGTAAACACTGCTCGCTCTTGTGTTTATCCAGATGGCTCTTACGAACAGATTCCAGACACTGAGGGCACTGCACTGTGGCAAACTTACACTGAGACGAGTGTTTCTGAGGAAGAGAGAACATAACACGATTAAACAAGTTGCCATCATGACAACTGTGATTTAGCAAGCTTGTTCGTGACTCCACACTAATGGGTTTGAAATGCCATTTATGAAAGGTCTTGCTCTCTGAGGAGCTGATGCGTAACATATCCATGGACCGTTTTAATTAACAAGATTTTAAGTTGAAATACCTTGGGTCCCATAAGTTCTATTTTTTTAACCATATTTAAGAACCTAAAAATATTCTTAAAAGGGTCATGAACTGCCTCTGTTTTTTATTTTATACTGTTCTCTGAGGTCCACTTTTAATGTGAAGATTATTACATAAAAAAAAATAAGTAATAAGATATTTTCTGTCCTGTTTGTAACCCTCCTCATCAGAAAGCTCTGTTTGAATAGGCATGACGGATTGTATACTCGGAAGTAGTGCTGGGCGGTATGACCAAAAATTTATATCGCGGTATTTTTCTAAATTATACCGGTTTCACGTTACATGACGGTATTTTTTTTTCATGCATGACCGGGTGTTATTCATATTTTCTACTGATTGAGAGAGGAAATGCTGCAGTATATTGACTTAGAATGCCCTATTTTACCATCATGATGAGTGAATATTGTCAAAAAAAATACCACACTAAATAGTGACTAAACACGACCCCTTTTAATACATGTTAACCAGGAGTCACTCTCATTTATAATCACGGCATCGTCTGATAAAATCAACATGCATCTACACTAAAGAGCGGCTATGCGTTGTTTTGGCTATATTACTTTTGTGTCTCATGCAGCGCTCACAAACAAACTAAAAAAAACAACAAACAAAAAAGTGCATGTGATATTAACAAACAAACTACGCTCATATTTATAATTCCAAAAGGGTCTGAAAGTTGCTAAATCTAGTGCTAAAGTCGCGCTTGTGTGAGTGTGTGAGACGCGGGAGCTGATGGCAGGGGGCGTTGGATATTTGTGGCGGTCAATGTGGATATTGTGGATGAGGTCTTCTGTGTCATCACGTTCTAATAGTTCTACAGCTTCAGTTTCGGAACTTTCACGCTTAGTAACACATACAGCTGTTCCCTCACCACAGTGCAACAGTGAAAAGGGACCCTTTAAACAACGTTCGGAACAGTGTCGCGTTCCGAACGCTGTTTAAGTGACATACCTAAAATTGCGGTATTAAAAAAATTCATATCATAACAAAAATAAACACCAGTATTCGGTATGAACCGGTATACCGCCCAGCACTACTCGGAAGTAAATGCCCACTGCTATGATTGGCTAACAGTTGTGTATGTTTGAAAGC